AATGAAGCAAGAAAGAGACCAAATCGACCTTGAACACACCACAACTATCATTTTGAGGATAGCATTGATACGAGCTGATAATCAAAGTTGTATCTTCACTTGAGATACAATATAGAAGTGACACAGGGTCGAGAACAATAGCAGTGCACGTGAAGCCCTAGCCCTTATCGGAAATTGCCTGTTTGGGCTGTTTGTTTATCCAACTGGAACGCCTCCGTCCCCGTGACTGAACCTCCGCAACTGGAATAACCATCGCTGGCACCAGAGGATTATCAAGTCTGGCTCTTCAGAAACACCGCCGCCAAACACGCCGAAACGGTTCTGGAAACGACCACACCGTGTCTGATCAATCTCCATGCCACCGACCTAGAATGAATTTGCGACATTGATCGATTTCCTATCATAACCGACCGAAAACTTCTCAATAAGGTCTTGCCAGGCTTACCCCTCCCTCCCCCACCCACCCAACCACCATGCCTAGCAGAGTTCCCGCCCGTTCAGCTTCTGCCTCGACGCGCAAGAACTCCGCGCAACCATCCGCTTCCGGGCGCGCAGCGTCGGTGACGCCTTCATTCGCTATTCCCGATGAGCCCGCCTTGCCCGAGGCAGTCCCCACCCTGCGACGAGATATCTGTGCCATCTTCGCCGACGCCCAACGTTCGACCACTGGACACCGAAAACTTGTGGTGCGCCTTCGCAAGCTCCAGGAGTTCTGCTGCGGCATCACGCAAAAAAGCTCAAAGAAGGATGGAAAGCGGGAACAGAGTCGTTCGGAGCTGGTGCTGCCGTCCGAGGAAACAATCCCCGAGAAAGAGTTCAACATAGAAGTCGGCCGCTGCGTGCTGCGCATTCTGCCTGTCAAGAAATCAGAGCCGGTAGGCGACCGGATCCTACGGTTTTTGGGCACATTCCTGCACCAAGCCTCCGAGAAAGACGCCGAGTTGTTTGCGTCGAACGAGAACGACGACGACCTCGAAAATGTAACAGAGACCCCGACTGCCCGCTTGACCACGACCTTGGTCAACCTCATTATACCCCTGTTGGTCGCGAAGGATAAGACCGTTCGGTTTCGCGCGACCCAGATCGTCGCGCATATCGTCAACTCGCTCGAGACGATAGATGATGACCAGTATCACGCTATCCGCCACGGCCTTCTGAAGCGCATCCGCGACAAGGAACCCGCTGTCAGAGTGCAGGCGGTGATGGGACTGGGCCGACTCGCCGGCAATGACGATGACGACGATGATAATGATGAGAGCTCCCGTGCAATCCTGGAGAAATTGGTCGACATTATGCAGAATGATACCAGTGCCGACGTGCGGAAGACGCTACTCATCAACCTACCGCTGGTCCCGGCCACCCTCAAGTATCTCCTCGAACGAGCCCGCGATCTCGATGCACCGACCAGACGAGCAGTGTATGCGCGTCTACTCCCTAGCCTCGGCGATTTCCGACACTTGTCGCTGTCAATGCGAGAAAAGTTGCTGCGCTGGGGCCTGCGCGATCGTGATGAGAGTGTCAGAAAAGCGACGGGCAAGCTGTTCTACGATCGCTGGATCGAGGACTGTGCTGGTACCAACAAGGATCCCGAAGCTGGACCCGTGGGCCAGCGTTCTCCTCCCGACACCTCGGCGCTTCTCGAGCTGTTGGAGAGAATCGATGTGGTCAACTCCGGTGTGGAGTCGGGGATTGCTCATGAAGCTATGCGTGGCTTCTGGGAGGGCCGCCCCGATTACCGAGAAGCCGTGGTCTTCGACGAGCCCTTCTGGGAATCTCTGACGGCAGAATCTGCCTTTCTCATCCGCTCATTCAACGACTTCTGCCGCGTCGAGAACGAGGGCAGGTATGACAAACTCGCCGATGAGAAGATACCCGAAGTTACGGCGCTGGCATTCTATCTACACAAATACATGACTAGCCTTCTGCAGAAGAAGAAGTCCGTCAAAGAGGCCGGCGATGCCAACGAGGACGACGCCGTTGAGAACGAATTTATCGTGGAGCAGCTGCTGCATATTGCTATGACTCTCGATTACAGTGATGAAGTTGGCCGTCGCAAGATGTACTCTCTCTTGCGCGAGTCTTTGGCCGTGTCGGACTTACCTGAGGAGTGCACAAAACTTACTGTCGAAACATTGCGGTTTGTTTGTGGACCGAATGCTGCTGCGGAGAACGAATTCTGCAGTGTTGTTCTTGAAGCTATTGCCGAGGTGCACGACACAATCACTACGGAGGACAGCTTCGTTTCTGCTAAGTCGGAGATCAGCGATGCCAGTTCGTCTCGCGCCCGATCGGAGACACCCCAAACCGAAGATGAGAAGCCTTTCAACAAAGAGGAGGCTAAGGCGAAGGTTCTTCGAGAGATTGTGGTGAATATGAAGTGTCTTCATATTGCCCTCTGCATGCTGCAGAATGTCGAAGGCAATCTTCAGGCCAATATGAACTTAGTAACCATGTTGAATAACCTGGTTGTCCCTGCCGTGCGGAGTCACGAGGCTCCGATTCGTGAGAGGGGTCTTGAGTGCCTGGGACTTTGTTGCTTGCTGGACAAGGTAAGTTTTTTCATCTGCATACCTGCGAGAACCCTAGCTAATTAGTGCATGCAGACCCTGGCGGAAGAAAACATGACTCTGTTTATCCACTGCTACAGCAAAGGGCACGAACTTCTGCAGGTCACTGCCATCCACATTCTTTGCGACATGCTGGCTACGCATCCCACCTTGCTCACCCCCGTGACTCAATCCGATGGAGAGACGGTAACACCACCGGTCTTCCAAAAGCCGTTGCTGAAAGTCTTTGCCAGGGCATTGAAGTCCAGCTCCCCGAACAGCGTGCAGACGGCCGCCGCCACTGCCCTTTCCAAATTACTACTTACAAGCGCTTTCAACCCTGGCGGAGCTAATGTGCCACCAGCCATTCAGGAGTACAACCAGGCTGCTATCGAGACGCTTCTGCATTCACTTGTTGTTTCCTTCTTCCACCCTCGCACACGTGATAACCCTGCGCTTCGACAGGCCCTCGCCTATTTCTTCCCCGTCTACTGTCATTCTCGACTGGAAAACGCACAATACATGCGCAGAGTGGCCGTGCCAGTCGTCCGGGCGACGTTAAACGCCGCCGAAGAATACTACTCGCTGGAAGCTGAGGAAGACAGTGATGGTGATATCGACGAGACAGTCGGACAAAGAGAGCTGAAGGCCCTCATGAGCGGTGTGCTGGGCATGTTGGCGGAATGGACCGATGAGCGGAGAGTCATTGGTTTGGGCGGAGAGAAGGTCCTTGCGGGCCAACCAACTAGCTCGACAGCATGTGGCTTCGTTCATCTGGAGCTGGTGAAGGATATCCTCGAGCGGGTGCTAGGGATTAGCACAGGCACCAATCGCTGCTCGAAAGAAGAGAAGAAGCTTCTCTTCTCCCTTCTCAGCAAACTCTACATTACGGCACCTGTGGTTCCCTCCCGCGCTGGATCTCGTGCTCCCGAAGGCGAGGACCCATTGCGTTCCAGTGTGCGCAGCACACAGCCGGAGGTCTCCCCCGAGAACGCCGCTCTCGCTCAGGAGGTCAAGGAGCTGCTAGACGAGACGATCGAAGAGGGGCTGGCTGCCGAAGCCGCCAGCCGCAATGCCCTGGTCAAGGTGAAGAACTCGATCCTCAAGCTGTTAGCGGCCGCCAATGGTCGTCCTGCCAGTGTGCGGATGCGAGAAGGCGACGAAGGCGACAGCGATGTCATGAGCGTGCGATCGATGAGCGTGCGGTCCGGCAGCGTGCGGCCCTCCATCGAGCCGGGGGCGATGCGTCGCGGATTCTCGGTTGAGCCGAGCATCATTGAGGAGGAAGACGAGAACGAGGACAGTCACACGACGGTGATCAAGGCGGAAACTCGCGACGAGTGATTTGTTGATTTCTGGTCTGGTTGGATTGGCGTTTTCGGATTTACGTCGGCGGGAGGGGGGGGGGGTTCCTTGGCTGGTGTATCAGCATGATGGGATTTATCATTTGTACCTAGTTTTTATTGTCTTTTCTTTTTATTTTTCGGTGACGAGTGTAAATGATGTAATGTTTGCACAGTGGAAATATTTCTGGTGACCTTTTGGTTTCTCTACTTGTGTATATGAGTTTTTTGACTTGAGGGTGACGCGGATAGTCTTATCCCGGATATGCTGGGAGGAGCAGTGATCCTGAGGGCTCAAGGAGGAGGTGGTCCGGTGGGACAGTCTAGTGAGTTGGTGACCCATCCATTCATCGTACAGTCTCCCCCCCCCTGCTAGTGGCAGTGGCAGTTCAGACTGCCATGGTCAAATAATGGCGCGACGCGACTCTTGGCTGCAGGTGGAGGAGAGCAAGACAACGCGTCTCACCACGGTTGCTGACATTCAGTTGATGCAGCTTGAGGAGTGAAGCTGTCACCCATGGCTCCCTCAATGTTGATCCAGCAAAAACCACGAGTCAATGATTTCGACTCTTGCCCATGGACAAGCGAGACAATAATATTGGACTAATTGAAGATGCATTCATGATTCGGAACTGGAACCTCCGGCTGGAAGCCAGACCGGCGGGCGGTGGATCCGGGGGTCGCTTGTCAATTGGCTGATGTCGACTGTCTTCTGCTTCTTTGGCGGTCTCTCTCGGATAAGCAGGCAGTAAGGCGACAGTTCAGTCAGGTTTACCCGCGTCCGTGGAAAGTCCCCGTGGGACAGAAGTACGATGTCTTCCGTAACTCAATCTTCTTGCTTTGGCAATTCAACATTTTTTTGCTGACATTCGGTCGGTCTGCATGGGCAGAATGATCGCCATTGGTAGGGTGTTCATAGCAATGAATTCCAATTGCATCCATCATTGACATCAAGAGCTCTAGGTAGTACCTTTGGTAGATCTACCGGCCAACAATTTACACTCAGCGCCTCCTTCCTGCCTGTTGCTGCTTTAGGAGGGTGGGCCGGTTGGTCAGGTGATCCGCTCACCCTTCAACGGCTACACCCACCCCGTCGATTCGTATCTATAAACTAGATATAATTAGGTTCCTCAGATCCATCAGAACTACCGGCATTATCTTGACCAGCTGCATATTGTTCATTTGCCTGCCTGATAAAGTCGTCCCTGAATTCCCTGGCCAGGTCTTGGGCATTTCGATAGGCCGTTATACCCTGCTGATAAGTATCTGGGTCACTATGCAATGCCCATTGCCCAGCCTGGGTCATCACATAATTGGGATCTGGATCATTATTGTCTGTAGGTATTGTAAGGTGAGTTATGTACAGCCCTAGCAATTCATTGTTAAAAGTAGCTGCCATAGTATAGGCGTTATTATTATAATAGTCCGGCTTATTGCTGCTCCTGTCATGCCCATATTGCTGCAGAGCATGCATAGCTCGTGCCCCCAGAGCAGCGGCATAACAGGCCTGGCGTTTCAAGCACGGCGTAGCTTCCATCATGACCTGTCTCGAGGAAGAAGTTTGGTGCTGCTGGACGGTTGGTCCGACGCGTGGGAACAATCTTGTTACTCAGGTCTTCCCGGATGTTGTTGTTCAGCTGGTTCGGGGGCGCGCCATGGTAAAACTCAGGCGCAGCATTAGCTAGGGTGCCATCTGTTAGAGGAGCCAGATTTGTGAATGGGTGATTGCCGCCATCTTCGAAGGAGTCTTGCTGCGAGCCTTGAAGGAAAGGAAGAATTCTCTTGACAACCCGCTGCGCACCAGAAGTCTTGTCGTTGACTGTAGTAAAGTCTTCGTATTCTCTCTCTAAGGAGCTTTCTAATATTACCATTGAAGGTCGAGAGTTCCGTAGTCTTCTTTGGATTTCTGCAATTTTGGCCGGCTTCGATGGCTTCGTACCGTCTGGATATGTACCAGATGGCATGAAGATACCATGGTCGTTGAGATGTCCCTCGAAGTGGCGGTCGTACGCCGTGCTTCCCTTGATGCGTGTGCGCGTCGGGATGGAATCATCAGGAGCCATAGAGTACTGATCAAAGTGGGCTGGTTCGGGATACTATAAGCAAGGCTGATGAGTATATAACTGCACTGCTTCACAGATCGTTATCGGGAGAAGAATAGGCAGACAAACTCACATCTCTACTATCTGATAGATCCGGTCCTCTACAGCGGGAAAATCTTTTGACTTGTTTACGCGAGCAGTAGAACAGTTGCGCAAAAAAAAAGGAGCAAAGGTATGAGGGATAGAAGCGGAGCCTTGGTATAAGGATAAGGATCTATTTCGTCGGTTGGCTTCTCTTAACGCGCTCTTGGTTAACCACAGCTTAGGGAGTTCCTCCAAAATAATGGAGGAGGATGGAAAGAGTGGTGCTTTTGTTGTTGATGCTGCTGCTTGAAGGATGACATAAAGGGAATATATGTAGATAGAGCAGCTAAAGAAGAGGTTGCAACTGGTAAGAAAGAACAATGGTGTTGTAGCGGGAATATGTAAGATAGAGTAATCAAGGAAGAAGTTGTGAGTTGTAAGGAGAACAGCAGTCTGGAGGGCCTTTAAAGAAAGTACGAAGATAAACAGATGATTGTGACAGAAGTATGATTGGCCGCATTCTAGATGAGAACAAAGAAGTCGCATCAATACAAAGCACAAATCATTTCAATCACTCGATTGTGCTGCTACCACCCACAGTTTTAGTCAACCATCTATAAGTTATCTGATAGCAAGGGCAACTGAATGATTGTATACATAAGCCTGGCACCATAAGGTGAGGGATGCTATATCTGGCAAGATAGTAGGTGATGAAGAGGTATAAAACCTAGAGTAATATATTTTGTTTTTTTTCAAGATATATAGTATGAAATGGTATAACTATAAAAATATACATATATTTAAAAAACGATCTAGCTTTTATTTATTTAAACTTTTACTAACAGCTGCGTTCGGCTTCTATTTATACATATATATATCAAGTTCTAATGTATGGTACTATAAAGCATACACTGACAAAACTAATTTTGGAATTCTACTGCCTAAGGCCTACAAATATAACTGCTAAGCTGCCTTGAGAAGTCTGCCTGCCGGCGGCTTGCGGCCGTTCTGAAGTTCTTGTCCCTATAAAAATGTTATTATCACAACGCGTTCCCAGTGAGCAAGCAGAACAAGCCTTTTTCCATACAGATAAGGCAGCAAGGCCTCCCGAAGCCTCCGTGGGCTCCCTGAGCACGCGAGGCAGCAAGGCCTCTCCAATCTTAGGCTTTCAACTTACTTACAGTTTTAAACCAAATAAAGTAAAATCTAGATCTTCCTTTTTATTTTTTATATAGGATTATATATAGTAAATCAAGGATGAGCTATTATCATTCATTTTATACATTTCCTCTACAAAAAATAAGCAGTTTTGTTGATTTAGTGACATTGTTGGCATATGTGCTTTGTATGGGAGTTTGGTGGGAAACGCGCGTGGTCGGAAGGTGTGTGAGGAACTTCAGAGTACTCCGTAGTAGCATGGGATTGACAGAAATTAAATTTCTTATATTTGACTATTTCCTTTCAACTTCAATTGATAGCAACAATTCCTGACTTGACCTCGTTGTGGTGGTGAAAAATTATTAGGGAGGAATTGGCGACCAGAGACGGAGGGAGGAGTGAGTATCCGTAGGTTTTCTTTTAATCTCGACGCTCCACCAAAAACAACATCCGGGCCTGGGGACTTTCTTTTTCCTTCTCTCTCTCCTCCTTCCTCAATCGCTCTCTCACTCTTACTCTTTTGCTCTCTCTCTCTCTCTCTCTCCCTCACTCTTTCTCCTCTTCTCCTCCTCCTCCTTCTTCCCCCCTCTCTCTTTCCCTCCCTCCTCTTCCCGTCCGCGTGTCTTTTTCTTCCCTTCCACGACGGTCATTTCTCCCCGAGTCGTGAAAATCGTGTAGCCTGCCGGTCCTTGCAGAGACACGTTTTTTTTTTTTACCCTTTCCCTTCCCTCCCCCCTTTCTCCGACCCGTCCGTGGTTCTTTCCCACACCCACCCCCTCCCTCCACCAACCCCCTGCTGCCCGCTCCGTTGGCGTGAGAGGCAGTGACCGATCCAACAACACCTTGAGCGATGGCCGCCGTATCAGCTCCCACTCCTAAGCTGGATCGCTACATTGTTATCCACGTCGCAACCACCTGCGATGAACATGGCGTCTACGTCACTAAGGATTCCGCCGAGGTGATTGAGTTGGGGTGGATCTTGTTGGACACCAAAACCTGCGAGGAGGTATGCATGAATCTTATTCTATTTTATCTGATCTCGCTCGAGTCCTGCTCGTCCAATTCCAGCCTTCTCGTTGCTGCGCCCCTCTTCTGATCACCCTTGCTCGATTGCTGCGTTGCTGCATTGCTGCATCTCCCCTCAACCTCAACCAACCCAATCCCACCAACCCCCAAAGGACTTCCGGCCGTTACCCGGAGAGAACTTGCCTCCAATTCAACCATCGTGTTTGCTGACTCGGCGTCCCCTCTAGTTGCACCATGAGAGCGTGCTCGTCAAGCCTGTCAACACCCCCATCACGCCTCTCTGTAGTAAGTCTACCCAATCAACTTCAGCCTCGTCCGCCAATTCCCCCTCCCCGTCAGCCTCGATTCCTTCCCCTTCCCTTTCCCTGTCCTCTCGGATACATCGGTTCGTTGGTTCAATGGCTGACGTTTCTCGACAGCGAGCCTGACAACTTTAACATGGGAGCATGTTCGCTCCGCAGGTACTTTCCGCGACGCCATCAGCCGCTTCGACGCCTTCGCCCAGGAACACCTCATCAGCAAGAACCTCGAATTCGCCTTCGTGACATTGGACTCGTGGGATCTCCGTGTTCAGCTGCCTCGCGAGGCCCGTGACAAGGCCGTCGTGCTCCCCGCATACCTCCAACATTCGCGGACGTTCGACCTTCGCACCGAGTATCAGCGATGGCAGACTCACCACCCCGAGTCTCTGCCCTTCGGCCCCAGCTCTCTCTCCAACATCTGCGCCGCTCTCGAAGTCGAACCCGTGCAGTCCTCCGCCCCCATCAAGCATAACCTTCCATTCCACTTGCAGGCTTTGGCCCCCGCATCGCCGCGGAGAGCCATGGAAGAAGCCATTACGCTGGCCCGGGTGCTTCGTGGCCTGATCCGGAAGTCTCAGCCTCCCCATGAACATCCCGAGATCCTGACTCGCCCTATGGATGCCAGGGCCGATGTCCGGGCGTTCCTGACCGAGCGCAGCAAGGTGCTTCACCTGAGCGGTCTGCCCCACGATACTACGCAGTCGGAGCTGGAGAGTTGGTTCACCCAGTTCGGTGGACGTCCCATCGCGTTCTGGACTCTCCGCACTCCTGACCAGCACAAGCCCACCGGCACTGGATTCGCGGTTTTCTCGTCTCACGAAGAGGTAAGAAATTGAAACCAAGTACATGTCACATCGCTTTTCTGACCATCATCCCAAAGGCCGCTGAAAGTCTGTGCATGAACGGGCGTGCTCTCAACGAAAAAGCCATTGAGGTCTCTCCTTCCTCTAGCCGGGTTCTCGACCGTGCTGCTGAAATCTTGACGCCCTTTCCACCTTCGAAGAACCGCCCCCGTCCTGGCGACTGGACCTGCCCTTCATGCGGCTTCTCCAACTTCCAGCGCCGCACCGCCTGTTTCCGCTGCTCCTTCCCCGCCATGGCCGCTGCCCCTGATCCGATGGGATACGGTTACGGTTACGCTCCCCCTTCCATGATGCCTCCTCACATGGGCCACGGTGGTCACGGCATGGGCCACTCCCGCGGTATGGGCGGCAACGGTGGCGTGGTTCCGTTCCGCGCTGGTGACTGGAAATGTGGATCTGAAGGCTGTGGTTATCACAACTTTGCTAAGAACATCAACTGTCTCCGTTGCGGTGCCCCGCGGTCTGGCGCTGCTGTCGTCGCTGACTCGGCTTTCCCCTCCCCCATGGACCCTCCCACTGGCTTCGGCATGGGTCCCAACTCCATGACGAGCACCCCCGCTCCCGGAGGTTTCACTGGATCGGCCGGTGGCTTCGGCGGGTTCAGCCAGCAGTTTGGTGCTCCCCCTAACAACTATGCCCTGCCCTCAAGCTTGGGCAGCACCCCTAGTGGCTACGCCCCCATGGGCCAGATGAATGCCGGCTACGGTTCCTCGAACACCTCCCACTCCGCGGCTTCATTCTCCAACCCCGCCGCCCAGGCCGCTTTCACCGGTGCGGATCACACCACTTCCACGAGCGCTTCCAACGGTGCGTTCTACGGCAATGACGGTGCGAGCGACCCCTTTGCCTTTCTCTCCACCGGCCTCGGCGGATTGACTGTGGGCGAGGATGGCCACTCTCGTCGCAACGGGGCTGGTGCCAACAAGTCCCCGGCTTAACCGGCCAGGAGGCATATATTTGTCATTTTCTTTTCTACGGTTGTTCCTCACGTTTTTGTCCATATGGAGGGCTGGAATATGTTGGTATATGTGACGGTTGATATTCGTTGATGCGCATTTGTATAAGGAATTCTGCAGTTCTGGTGCATTCGGTTGGGAGGAGCAGGCCGGTAGCGTGTCGTCGTTTCAACGGGTTTGATCCTTTTTGTTTCGCCTGGTCTCGTTGCAGACCTTATCACAGACATTTTTTTTCGGTATGTCTTACTATTTGCGCCATTGGAAGCGATGCTTGAGGATATAGAAGCCCGTCCTGGTAGGGTTGACGCTTCTGTTCCCAGGAGTTTGCTGCGTCTTCATCAGCCGGGAGGCATTATATTTGCCCCCCCAGAGATTTTCCGACGCTTCGGAATTCACGTATGAATCCGCTGGCACTTTGTGCGATTGTTTATTTCTGCTATGGGGAAACCTTCCGAGGTGGGCTTCGCCGGAGGTGGTGGCCGACTGGATGTGGATTGTGCTCGAGCATGGCATTGCATTCTAGATTTTGTCTTTCTTATTGGTTTTCCGCATTCATCTGCGCTCTTCGACAAGCGGGTTCATTGGAGAAACACAGGTATTGAATCACACGGGTTGGGATACAATGGAACGGACTCTCTTGGGGGTGTTGGGGTTGGGGTATTCCTTTTGAGCCAGCAAAATCTTCATTCAACCAGCGAAGGTCGATTGGGAGTCGTGACGTGCGACCAGAATGTTCTGAATGTCCATAATTGTCTTGTCATTTTATTGTTCTCTACATATTGATGATTTAAAAGTCTGCTGTATTGTTCGATTATCTGTGGCCAGCCTTATGCAGTCCGTAAGAAGCTTGGGAGGAATGATTTCAGATCATAAAATATTCAAATTGTTGTCACGAAGACAGGGTGGTTGGTTGTTGATGCCGGCTCAGGCAAACGGAGGTAGCGTCATGGCCGGCTAGCCGCGCGCCTAGCGCTTGGGAGCTCTGAAGGCAGCGGCGGGACTCGCGTCCACCTCCATCTGTCATCGCCCAGGCCGGAGACCCTCAGCCAGCTCTTTACGACCCCAGACCACTAATTGCATCTTCTAACGATCTGTTCTTCTCCTCCTCCTCCAGTATATCCGATAATCTTGCACCCCGTGCTTGTTACCCATCATGTCCGGCTACGATCGAGCTCTTTCAGGTAAGCCAGATCCGACCGAACCTAGCTTAGCTGAAGCTCCTACATCATCGACCCGAGGGGACTAGGAGCAAGTGAAGATGGATTGCTAATTTGTAACAGTATTCAGGTACGACCATTATGATACTTCTTCTCAGAACTGTGATTAACTCTCGTCATCAGCCCTGACGGGCACGTCTTCCAGGTGGAATATGCCATGGAAGCTGTTAAGAGAGGTACGTACCTCCACCTCCTCCGTCAGGCGTCGAGCACGACCAGCACCTTAAACCTCATCTTTCTGACACCTCCCCCGGCCCTTGATCCTCTCAACCTACGTGACACTAACGTATGTGACCCAACCGGACAGGTACCTGCGCCGTCGGCGTAAAAGGCAAGGACGTGGTGGTCCTCGGCTGCGAGAAGCGCTCGGCTCTCAAGCTCCAAGACACCCGCATCACCCCCTCGAAGATCGCCATGGTCGACAACCACGCCGTGCTGGCGTTTGCCGGCCTGAACGCCGACGCCCGGATCCTGATCGACAAGGCCCGCCTGGAGGCACAGTCGCACCGCCTGACCGTCGAAGACCCCGTTACCATCGAATACATCACCAAGTACATCGCCGGGGTGCAGCAGCGGTACACGCAGAGTGGAGGTGTGCGGCCCTTCGGGATCAGTACGTTGGTGGTGGGCTTTGATCCCAACGACCGCACGCCGCGGCTGTACCAGACGGAGCCGTCGGGCATCTATTCGGCCTGGTATCTTTCCCCCGCCTTCTCTTCTTGAGTATCTCGTTTCTGTGTGGTAGCTGGCAGTGAATGCGAAGAAGTGACCGGGTTGGCTAATGACGTGTTGGTGGGATACAGGAAAGCCAACGCCATCGGCCGCTCCAGCAAGACGGTCCGCGAGTTCCTCGAACGCAACCACCAGGATGACATGGACCGCGAACAGACCATCCAGCTCACCATCAAGTCCCTGCTGGAGGTGGTGCAGACGGGCGCCAAGAACATCGAGGTAGCCATCATGGCGCCCGGCCAGGCGATCGAGATGCTGCCGGATGACCAAATCGAGGCGTACGTCAAGAGCATAGAGACGGAGAAGCAGGAAGAGGCCGCCAAGAAGAAGACGGCCCGCGGCGGGACTACGACGGCGGCGATCCTCACTCGCCCTGGTGGTGGTGAGACCGGTGAGTCGTCTTGAGTTGGAGAATTCTAGATGAGAGAGAGATGAAGACAATAGTGGTTTTACTTTATCCCCTAAGCGCTGTGCTATGTTCGAACCAATGAAATACTTGTCATGAAAGGAAAATTGTTACTTTTGGCAGTGAACGTGTAGTTCAAGTCGTAGTCTATACGGTTGTTCTCTGGTATGAAGGAAGTATGAACCAGAGGAGAGAAATATACAACGCCCACCCTCAACACCAATTCGAAGCAAGATAAACAAAGAGAAAGTAAAGTAGCATGAAATCGTAAATCTTCGTGAAAAACCCCCCCTGCTTTCCCCCATCCCAAACCTGGACAGGCAGAAGCGAATCTAGTTCTAACCCAACCGATCCGAAATATCCTTGAAATTAAAGATGGATTTCTCCTGATGTCCGCGAACCCGATCGTCCTTTAGCATTCTACGCGAGGCATGATGCGTTAGCTTAAATCCAATCAAGCTTTCTCTCTCTCTCCCCCCCTCCCCTCCCCCTTTTCCCCTCCATCTCATTTCCCACCGGAGTGGGGCAAGAAAAGCCGCCTCCCCTCTTAGAGAAAGAAAAGGAGAAAAAAAAGGGAGAACAGAACGGATGAACTCAACCGCAGGAATAAGAAAGAAGCATACCTCGAATCCACTCGCGCATCCTCGCCTTCCACGTGGAGCGTCGGGGTCGGCGTCACCGCCTCGATCACGAAGTGGTTGTCGCAGTGGGGACAGTATTCGTCACTAGATTGCGAGGAGTATCCGTTAGGTTACGTGTTTTGTTTTTCCCGGGTAGCTTTATAGAAGGACGCACATACCTCTCGTCGAATTCGGCCGTGTCCTTGCGGAAGCATTTCTTGCATTTCTTGCAGGCGAAGACCTGTTATTTCCCCCGGCGATTGTTAGTGGCTTGTGGGTTGTTGGGCGGGGGCGTTGTGCAGGGAGTTGAGGGGTGGTGGTGTGTGGGTTTGGGACGTCCTTTGTGCTTTGTTGTGAAGGAGTGCGGGGATGTTGGGGTTTGGTTTGTTGTTGGGAGTAGGAATTGAGGGGATGTAGGGTGTGTATTGTCAACGGTGTAGAGGTGGGAAACGGGCGAAGAGGATGTACCATCTCACTGGCTTTCTGGAGGGGATGTCTTTCGGTCTCTTGGTGGCATTCGGCGCAGTCGAACCATTTCTTGCCTGTGGTTTTCCCATGATACCTTAGTTTCGGAGTTTTCGAAGCTGAACGGAATATCGAGACTTACAGCAAGGGGATCGGATTGCCACTTGGGCGTTGAGGACGTGTTTGCTATAGTAGGTCGAGAGATGAGGTTATTACTTGTGGTTGCGGTTGCGGTTGCGGTTGCGGTTGCGGTTGCGTCTGCGGGCTGCGGGCTGCGGGCTGTTTCCTTACCACATGGTTGTTCGATGAGGTCTGTGAGGGCTGTCTGGGCTTGAGATTGGAGTTCGGAGGTGTTGTTGAGATGCTAAGTAAAGGACTGTTCTATTTCTGTCTTGTATCGTGCAGTTTGGAACTGGAGCTGAGGCGGAATAATGAAGCCGAATGGAGAAGACGCGGAGGGGGGGGAGAGGGAGGCTAAAAATAAAAAAAGAAGCCAATAAATGACGGATCCAAACCGCCGGCTGTCATTCCGCCTGCCCGCCATTCTTCCTCTCCTCTACTCTCCGTACTTACTATGGACTATCTAGGCATTCGTCTCCAGAACTTCAACAACTACTTCTTCTGACCACACTCAACGCGACTCTACTTTACCTCAACCTCCTGTTTGTTGTTCACCGTGCATTGCTGGAGACGACGCCCTGGTCTCGCAGTGTCGAGTCCTCATCTCCTTTCCCTCCCTCGTCTTTGTCGATCCACCCTAAACCACCAGCGTTCTTATTTGGTTGCCTCGAGTCGTCGTCGTCTTCTTCCGTTGTGCTTCTCCCCTCCCCTCCCCTCCCCCCCACTCTCCCGAACTCTCCCTCCTTCCTCTGCTTCTCTCCCCTCCATTCGTTCAACATCAATTAAATTTCCTCCGACATACAAACTCTCTCATATAATCTCTTCCGCCGGATTGTCTGTGGCTAGCTACAACCGCACAGCTGGGTTTAGTTCTCATCCCTCCTCGAATTTCCCCCTCCTTTCCCCCCCTGCTGTTCCTCCGCACTTCCTCCACTCCCTTCCGCCTGGAGCTCCGCCACAATCGTCACAGAGCCAAATCGCCCTCCCCTGCCACCTCCATTATCCTATCCATTACCGGTCTTCGATCTCTCCTGCGCCCTCACCTGGTCACCTCCAGCCAGCATTATATCGCCTACCGCGATTGGCTGCCTATGAACTATATTCTCCCTAAGATTCTGTGTCGGATCGGTTGTCATGGAGGGAAACGGTCAGAAGAAGGACGGCACGGATAATGCCCACATTGTATGTCCCAGATACAGAACCTCCGGCGGGGACCCAAGCTAAACTCTCTAATCTAAATAGAGACCTGTATCCTCTCTGCTTTCGCATTTCGAGAACTTGTCGCATCGCCGAGCTCCGTCCGCCGCCGCAACGAATGGCACACGCGACACCCCTTCCTTCCTACGGACCCTTGAACCCGGCGACGACGTCCGCTCGTCTTCGCGAGCCTCCCTCGATCTGTCTCGGTCATCACATACGCCATGGGAATCCACACCCGAATTGAACAGAAGTCACGGGTCTTTGCACGGCAATTGCATCCCCCCTCGACCCGGACGCACTCCCGGGGTCTCCCCTGGGCGGCGGCAGGATAGGCCCATGTCTCTGAGCCTGCGTTCGTCGCCGCAGCTCCCACCAACCTTGACAGTTGACTCTCCTCGATCTCCTCCACGGGGATTCGGATCGCTGGCTGAGCATGAAGAGCATGCACAATTCTCCCGCAGTCCTCTCAACGCGTCTAGGGAGTCGTTGCCTACAATCCCGCAGGGAGGCCGTCCGACGACCCCGGTCACATCGCGCTTTCCTACAGAACCCAAGGCAGGGAGCCTCTCTCCGGGGCCCACGGGCTCGATGACTAGTGGCCGTGAAAGCCCGAAGGACCATCATGGGAAGAGCGCATCCCTTCCGCCTCCGGTGAACCGGGTGGACAAGCCCAAGATTCCCGTCAAACCGGCCGCATTGTCCCATCACGAAGGCAGCTCGCTCACGACTCCGCAGCCTGAGCGTGCGCCCGCGGATGACCGCATCTCGCCATTCAGCACCCCACCAAGTAGCCCCGAGAAAGACTCTCCAAAGCGGAATCCGCCTACTTCGAGCGGCATACAGCTTGCGCGCTCCCCCTCTCGCCGTTCGCCCTCGCAGCCGCCAGCAGAACCCCCGCGTCATCGCTTTGAAGAACGAACCTCTACACCCCAGCCTCCTCTATTCCGCGAGCCTTCATTCACACAACGGCACTCTGTTGCAGAACCTCCGCGCGAGACTAGACCATTATCCGTGCAGATTCCTCCAAGACCGTCGCTCCCAGCAGAACCTCTATCTGCCGTGCCACTTTCTGCGAACCGGATACCGATGCATGACGGTTTCTCAGAACGTCCGGGACTGCCTCCACGGCAACCGTCGATTGCGCGAAGAGGCGGTCCGTCACCCTCGCGATTGTCCATCCAACGAGAAAATTCGGTGCATTCAATCCCACCGCCGACGCCACAACGGGAGTCGCGGTACTTGGACAGCCCGGCATTCTCCATGCCGCCTCCGACGCCTAACCGGGAGTCGCGGCAATTGCGTCGGGACGAACTCCCCACTCCGACAACGGTCCAGCGCCATCCGTCGATCGCCCGAGAGAATAGACCGGGGCCGCCTCCGGCTGTCCCGGAAAGACCAGTGGTGGAGCGCCCTCTTGCAGAACGGCCTGTGGTGGAACGGCAGTCAGTGCGTGTCCAGAGTGAGGATGAACAGAACCTAGACAGCGTTCCCGTTGCGCGTAATGACTATCCGGACGCCTCGACTGCCAACAGACGCCCGCCACTTTTGAAGTCTGGCCCAATGGAAATTAATACACGGTACGACACACGACTCATGGATGTGTGTGGAAAGCACGTGTGCACCACCGGGTATATCACACGAGTGTGGGATCTCACAACGGGCGAGCAACTCATGAGTCTCAGTCATGGGGAAACGGTCAAAAGCTTGTCCCTGGCCTTCAAGCCTGGTGTTGGACTGGAAGATGAAGGCCAGCGCGTATGGCTGGGTACGAATTCTGGTGAATTACATGAGGTGGACATTGCAACCGGGTCTATTGTAGCATCGCGCTCGTATCCGTCAAGGAAAGAAGTCGTCAAGATCCTTCGTCACAAAAAGGAGATGTGGACCCTTGATGATGAGGGTCGGCTATTGGTTTGGCCACCGGATGAGAACGGCACTCCCAACCTTCAATACAGCTACCACAACCCTTATGATCGGGTTGCGCGCGGACATACTTTCTCCATGGTAGTGGGCGATAAGCTCTGGCTGGCTGCGGGCAAGGAGGTACATGTGTACCGGCCCAATGCGCGGGACGATATTTCGTTCAAAGTACTCAGCAGGCCGCTGGGCGCGCATCATACTGGTGATGTCACGTCTGGCGCGTATACTACTCGAGACGGCGGCCTTGTCTATCTTGGTCATTCGGATGGCAAGGTGACGGTTTATTCTGCCAAAGATTACGCGTGTCTCGCAGTGGTGAACGTCAGTGTCTACAAGATCAACTGTCTGGGAATAGTCGGGGACTACCTGTGGGCAGCGTACAAAACCGGCATGATCTACGTCTACGATACGAGCACAAACCCCTGGACAGTCAAGAAGGACTGGCGTGCCCACGACAGCCCTGTGAGCGGGTTCTTGTTGGATTCGAGCAGTGTGTGGACGATGAACCGCCTCCAAGTGACTTCACTGGGTGACGATAACTGCATTCGTTTGTGGGATGGTATGTTGGAGGATGATTGGTTGGGTGAGTTACCATTTCGGGGATTGTTACTGGCCTTTACTGACCCGAGCATAGAGACCCGGATGCAAACCAGAGACGTCGAGTTTTGCAACTTCCGTGAGATCCATGCCGCAGTTATCACCTGGAATGCTGGTGCTTCGACACCTGGCAGTGTGCGGACGTCATCGTTTATCCAAGATGCCATTCATCCTGAGAATCCCCCGGAGATTATAGTCTTTGGTTTCCAGGAACTGGTGGATCTGGAGAACAAGAAGATCACAGCCAGTATGTGCATTTCATCCTCGATTAGAATTCAATATGGTATCTTGGGAGTACTAATTTGATTCCAGAGAGCCTTCTCCTGGGCAGCAAGAAGAAAGACAGCGGGGACAAGGAACACATGAGTCGGCAGTATCGGGTGTGGATGGAACATCTGACACGCTGCATCAACGATTGCATGCCGCTGGAGGAATCGTATGTGCTGTTGCATAGTGCGAACATGATCGGACTCTTCACGTGTGTGTTCGTCAAACACAAGGAGCGGCAGAGAATCACGGATATCAGTGCATCTGAGATCAAGCGGGGTATGGGAGGATTGCATGGCAACAAGGTAAGCCGTCTTGGGCATGCATGTAGGAGTAGGACTGACGATGTAGGGTGCTCTTCTGTTCCGCTTTACGCTGGACGACAGCTCCATCTGCCTGGTGAATTGCCACTTGGCAGCCGGCCAGACGCAGACAGCCCACCGTAACAACGACATCGCGGCGATCCTCGAGGCGGAGTCGCTTCCCGCGGAGCCTAGCCTCGCTGCACGCGCGAACCGCTACGTGAGTGGTGGTGACGGATCGATGATCATGGACCATGAGATCTGCATCCTCAATGGTGATCTGAATTACCGAATCGACGCCATTCCACGGAATGTGATCATCGACGCGGTCCGCAGCAACAACCTCACGAAGCTCCTCGAGCGCGACCAGCTGCTCGCCTCGCGGCGCAAGAACCCTGGCTTCCGCCTCCGGTCCTTCAACGAGTCCCCCATCACCTTCGCCCCGACGTACAAGTACGACGTCGGCACCGACGAGTACGACTCGAGTGACAAGAAGCGTGCCCCAGCCTGGTGTGACCGGGTTCTGTACCGTGGCCTCGGCCGGGTTCGACAGCTCGAGTACCGTCGCCACGAGGTGCGGGCGTCCGACCATCGGCCCGTCAGCGCCGCTTTCAAGCTCCGTATCAAGACCGTGTTGGCCGCGGAGCGGGAGGCCGTCTGGGATGCCTGCCAGCAGGAATTCTCCCGCGAGAAACGTCGACTGGCCTCCGAAGCGAGGTAGGATTTTCTTTATGTCCCGTATTCTGTTGTGTAATGACTAATAAATGCTCCAACAGTATCGAATATCTCATCACCGTCCTGGGCACCGAACCGCAACAAGCCCGGTCTTTGATCATGGGCAATGGGAATTAAACCTGTTTTTTGTGTGGTTGGATTCTTTGGGATGTTCTCGAGGAGGTCTAACCTCAGACCCTGCCCTCCGCGACCCAGCGCAGCACTACAACCAGGCATAGCGTTACACCGCTGACGTGTGTATATGACTAATGATTCACGATAGACATGTATTTATCATGATAGGAGAAGAGGGGGCTCTTTAGAAGGAGGTATGGCATTGTTTGAAGAGGACGAAATACTTAAATTAATATTGGGATGGTTGGGTGGTGGGTTGATTGAGGCAGTGTATTTGGGTGTTAGCCATTGTGGGAAGACCAGCCAGGGAGAGAGATAGATACAGAGAACGGTGGATGGGGTGTATATACTACTATTACTATTTATTTATTTGTTGATCTTTTTCTTCTTTTGTTGGGGGTGGAGGAGTTGCCGGTCCACACATAGACGATGATTCACTATGGAGTATTCTATTCCTATTCTACGGTTGATTGAAGGATTTGGCAGAGAGTCAATTTCATAATCTTCTCCTCTTCAAAGTCATCTTGAGTTACCAAATTGACAACTCATGTCAGCCGAGCTTAGTCCAAGTTCCTCAAGTTCCTCGACTCCGAACAATCTGTTGCAGTCTCACCGTCTGATACCGCTGCTGCAATTTTTCACTCCATATACAATCGATTCACCCAGCTCCGACCTTCATCTAAGCAATTGCGCTCACAGCATCCAAGAGATCGGATTAGGTTGAGGACAAACCTGAATCACGGACGATATACCATGGGTAAAGAAAGCTAATCCAGCCACAGTGTGATTGACGATCACATTTCGGAGGATATCAGAGTCGGTTAATTATGCAGGACCCAGCATCCTCTTAGTCTTCTGGCAACAGCTCACAGCATAAGCTCCAGCAACAACAGCCAACAACAACAATCCCCATGGCCAGCCAAGCACAGCAACACCAGGCAGACAAGATCGTGTCCCTCGCAAGCCGTGTCATGTCGCTAGCCCAGCGACACGCAGCCGCCACGCAGGAAGGCGGGGATGGCACCACCGCACGGGCAGCGCTGTGCACTGCGTGCGAGGAGCTGGCTGTCACCATCACGGCCCCCGAGGCGTGGCTGTGCCAGGCCGCGGCGTCGTCGCACACGGCCGCCGCGCTGGCGATCCTGCTGGAGACGGACATCATCACGCGGCTGTGTGAGACGGCTGAGCCGGTGGCCGGTCCGACCCTTCTGAAAGACGTTGGCGACAATGCTACCCCTGCGCTGTTTCGTGAGTTGATCTACCCTCGGCCCCCAGTCCTCAAAGATATGCCCGGGGAGTACCTCCCCGGCCCCCCCGCTGACAGAAGATAATCTTTAGGCTGTGCACTGAGACAATGCGCCGCCAGCCATCTTTTGGACGAGCCTGTCCCCGGCCATTTCCAGCGCAACCCGCGCACTGAGCTTCTGCATGATCCCTACATCCGGGACTGGATTCATTACCTGTCAGTCCCCGGGTCCAATGTTCGTGACAGACTAGCTAGGGGGTTCTCTAATGCACCAGCATGGTAACAGGGTGGACGATGGTCTGCGCTGCGCATCGTGGTTGTCGCGGTATGCCGCGCAGAACGACTACCATATCGCGGACGAGCGACATCGAAGCGCCTTCGGACTGGCTTTTGATAGTGAGTTTTGACAACTATTCAAAGCTGACATACCTTTGCTAGAGACTACCTCTAAGCAATGACTAATCCTGGGATAAAACCACCAGCAAACACCCCCTGCTACGACTACTACCACCAACTCGACCCGCCGCGCGGCCAGCGCTTCGGCAACGCGATGGAGGGCTACTTCCGCATGAACGCGCCCACTCCTATCGAAGACATCATAGCCTTCCCCGCCGTCTGCCCGGAAGATGGAGTAGTGGTCGACGTGGGCGGCGGCCGCGGCCACCACTCCCTGCGCCTGGCGCAGAGATACCCGCGCATGCGCTTCATCGTGCAGGACTACGCGAACGAAGCTCCGAGCGCGTCCAGCATCGATCCCGACCCCGGACTCCGTGAGCGGGTGCGCTGGATCAAGCATGATTTCTTTGATGAGCAGCCTGTGCGGGGGGCGGGAGTGTATCTTCTCAGTCATATATTGATGGATCATCCTGATCGGTAGGTCAACACCCTTAGGATGTGGGGTATAGTTCTAATCAACGGTCTGGGACAGGGAAAGCCAGAAGATCCTGGAGCATCTCGCGGAGGCCATGGACGCCCGCTCGACCCTGCTGGTGGACGACTTCTTCGACCCCGGGGACAGGCGGTTCGGCTCGCCGCAGGGGAATACCCTGGCGTTGCATCTGATCGCGTGCCGGGGGACGGCGTTTCGGACGATGGAGCAGTGGACGGCGCTGTTTGCGCGGGTGCCAGTGTTAACGGTGGTGGAATGTCGGATGCTTGAGCATGGGCGGGTGGTGATGAGGGTCTCCAGGAGGGATGGAGTAGAATAGGTGTGGATGAGTGAGCCATCTCGCTTCAATGGGTACGATAAATGGAAAAAGGGTTATACCCATGAGTTAGGGATCGCGTTGACAGTTTATGGTTGCATACATAGGGTCATTGCAAGCGCCCCCGAGGAGGTCCGAAGGATCATATGGTTCAACCCAGTGGCGGCCGCGGTTCCTTCACATCATTTGATGAGGCCCCGTCGGATTTTGCGGCTTTAGGACTTTCCTCTCCTAAACCCTACCCTGCATGGATTTCCCTTATAACTCAGCGACCCCGGCCTCACGCAATTGCCCATAAATTGTTTTGGACACTGAATGAAAGAATTCCCAGCTTACAGTCTTGTGAGCGAAAGAATCGACCTCAGGTGTCTGGCAATCTTACTCAGGTAGTATACGGTCCAATACTCAACGGCATCCATACCCACCGCCGCCGCCGCAGTATGTCCCCACCAGCACTACGCCCCGGATATCCCCTCGCCTGGCGCGCGGGCAGCGTCCTCCTCGCCGGAGGGGGCCTCTACGCCACCTACAGCCTTTTCGCCCAGCGCGCGCACGCCGAGGCCCCCGAAGCCCAGGCCCCGGCCCCAGCCCCGACCCCGCGACCGGTCTTCTCCCGGTTCGGCCCGACCACGCTGCGGGTGCAGGCCGTGCAGGAGGTCAACCACAACACGAAAAAGCTGGTGCTGGCGTACCCCGACCCCGAGGCGAGGAGTGGACTCCAACCGATCTGTACGTTGCCTGCTTTTGCTTTCCCTTTTGACCCATACCCGGAAAACAAAAGAAAAAAACAACAAGGAAGCTAACTGGAGTAATCCGAGCGACAGCCTCCCTGATAACCCTAACCCATCCCCCGGGCCGCTGGCTCCCGCTCCCCCGGCCATACACCCCGATCAGCGACCTGGGTACGTTGCCCTCCCTATCCTACCTGCCTACCCCAATCCTCCCCACCCAACAGCTATCCTCACTAACGAGCCCCCCCCAAATGGACAGACGAAAAAGGCCACCTCACCCTCCTGATCAAAAAATACCCCCACGGCCGCGCCAGCAGCTACCTCCACGCCCTCCAACCGGGCGACTCCCTGACCGTCCTCACCGCCCGGAGGGGGTACCAGCACTCAAAACCCAACCAGTTCTCGCACGTGTACCTGCTCGCCGGCGGGGCGGGCATCACGCCGTGCTACCAGCTCATCCGGACGATCCTGCAGGATCCAGCCGAGACGACGAAGCTCACGCTGCTGTTTGGGGGGAATACCGAGGCGGATTTGGTGCTGAGGGAGGAGTTGGAGGCGTTTGTAAGGAGATTTCCGGAGAGGTTGAGGGTGGTGTATACTGTTAGTCGGGGGAGGGAGGTAGGGGGAAGTTGGGGGCAGGGGGAGGGGGAGGGCAAGGGGAAAGGGGAGGTGAGGGAAGGGCGGATTGATGAGGCGCTGCTGCGGGAGAATCTTTTGAACAATGAGGGTCGGGTGAAGGTGTTTGTGAGTGGGCCGCCGGGGATGGAGAAGGCGCTGATCGGGGGTAAGGGGGAGGAGGGGGTGTTGCAGAAGCTGGGGTTTGGGAGGGAGCAGATTCATCAGTTCTAGGGGTGTCTTGGTTTCTGGGGATGTTATTGTGTGTTGCTTTTCTTGGGAAAGGTTGTCCAGGGGAATGATGGACAAGCATGAGATGATATTGACCGTGGTCAATGCCACAGGTGTATCTGTATCTGTATCTGTATCTGCAGTTTGTAAGGGAATGGAAGTGTCTTTGCACCGACTAATAGTGTACATACTGGCAAACAGTGTGAGTCTCCGGAGACTTGCCCTATGGCCTGGCTTACATAGCCCTTCCATCAGTTCCACTAAAGGACTGAAAGCACCTAGGATTTGAATGTTTGGAGTATATCTGTAGTTGTACACCAGAGTGAATAGACTAATGAAACCGCACGTTGAAAAAGATCTTCATACTTGGTGAACAAGTTCCTCACAGTCTTTCTGTGATTAACACACAGCCTCGATTCCGCAATATTTCCCTACAATCACACCCCGTCAATTCGACAAGAGAAACAGACCCTCGGCTATCAGCTATCAGCCCCCAACCCCCCAGGGCCCGGAACAAGTCATGCCGTCATCGTCCCGGAAACAGCGGGACCGACCCCCCACCCCCACCCCCACCCCCACTTCAGCCCTATGAACTCACATCCCCAGGACACGTAAAATAGCGTAGCTTCTGACATAGTGTGCCAACCCCTAACTTATCCCTTTAACATCGCACGTAGTCCAAAACCACTCCTCCCATATATCTCACCACGGAACCCCAAAAGTCCACCAAGCCACACATCCCACCTCACCCCAACCACTCCCCAAAATGACCACCCACCCCCTGGCCTACCGCACCGCCCAAGCCATCGGCTTCACCGGCGCCGCCTGGCTATCCGGTACGTGTCTCCGTACCCCCGTCCCAACATCCAACCCTATACCTACCCACCCTAAACCCCCAGCCCAATCCCCAAACTAACAAATCCCACAAAAGGAAACATCGCCTCCCAAAGCCTCATCACCATTCCCGCCCTCCTAGCCATTGACCCCGACCCCGACCCAACCCCTTACCTCACAGACCACCCAAACCACATTACAGCACCACCCACAGACCATCCAAACCACAATACAGCAACACCCACAACCCTCCGAATCTGGAAACGAATCTCCACCGCCAGCAGCACCCAGACCCCGCCGGTCGCCGCGGGCACCGCCGCCGCGTTCGTCTACCTCGCCTGGACGGTTGCGCGCGCCGTCGAGCCGCCGCTGCTGCAGCAGGTTCTGAGTAGCAGTAGGAGCATCGGTGGCTATGTCGGTCCCGGTTGGTGGTATGCGGCGGCGGCGGTGTTGACGGTGGGGGTTGTGCCGTTCACGGCGGTGGTGATGCGCGGGACGGATTGTGAGCTTGTGCGGTTGGTGGAGGGGGAGCGGGAGCGGGAGAAGGGGGCGGGGGCGGAGGCGGAGGCGGAGGCAGAGGCGGCGGCGGAAAGGACGAGCGGGTTGCTGAAGCGGTGGGCGGTGTTGAACGCGGTGCGGAGTCTGTTGCCGCTGGTTGGCGGGTTGTGCGGTTTTGCGGCGGCGGTGATTTGATTTTACTTGCCAAGTACAGTACTCGGTGGTGTGGATGGCGTTGGTGTTGGGAGGATATTTTCGTCGTGGTTCATGGATCTCTAGGCAGGCATGTTCGATTGTGGACGGATAGAATGCAAAAAGCCAGCTTCTATTTCTTCTGAGTTGAGCACGAGCAAGGAACACCCATCCCTCGCAACAATGACAGAACGGTGTCCTCCATATAAGCAGCTGCGCACAAGAGTAGAAGGAGACAGCAACAATCAGCAACAGATCCCACACCAGCAGATACCACCAAGCAGCACACGCAATTCTAACCAACCCTACTTCTTCCCCACCCGCGCAGACCGTCCAGTACCCCTCCCCCCACTCGCGTCCACCCGAATAATCCTCCCAACCGACTCACCAAACCTCAACGCGGTGTGATCCTCCCCCTTCCAAAGCTTCCTCACCACGTCTGGACACGTCGCAAAGTGCTGCGGGAGATCCGGGACCCGAAATGCGCGATCCACCCCCTTGCTCCCCGCGGACGTAGTGTTCCAGGCATAGTGCTCCTGCCGGTTTCGCGGATTGCGCCGGCTCTTGCCCCGGGATATCTCCCAGAACTTCGTGCACCCGTAACAGTACACCCCCGGCTCGGCGACGCGGGCGTGCGGGTCCCAGCACGGAAACGCCACGGTCGACCGCAGCCGCCTCTGGTACGTGTCCTGCAGCCGGTACATCCATTCTTGTGCGGCAGGTTCTTTGCGACTACTGCCTGATTGCGGCGGCTGCTGCTGCTGCTGCTGTTGATACATGAGTTGAGCGTGCGTCACGTCAATCAGCATTTCTGAGGTGTATTGGCCTTCGAGAAGATCAAGAAAACAGACGATCGGAAGATCCCACCGGCCCCTCCGAAGAAACGGGTAACAGGCAAACCCCACATCGAGGGCTGCGACGCGGTATGGATCGTGTCTCAAAACGCACTGCAAACACACCCGCGAGTGAGTGGGGATATAGAGAAAGGGGCCGAAGTCGGGGCAGGTTCGGCACCGGGGGTGGCAGAATTCGCGATACAATTGATGGACAGGGAAAAAATGGGTGCATTGGGCAATGTCAAGGCTCTCGAGGGTCTCTGCTGCATGGGCTCGGAGCATACGGTATTCGTAAAGAGAGTCGACCTGCCGGCGAATCATAGAGTTGAGTAAACGTAGGGTGCCCAGTGTAGTCATATCGAGGCGGAGGAAGATCATGTGCACTATCTCTGGCGGTAGTGAGGGCCATAGCGACCGGGAGGGCGGCGGGCGCCAACAAGGATGGCTGGCCACGCGGTTGCTGCTCCTGATATTGGGTTTGGTAGAGCCATCTGATTTCGTTGAGACGAGCGCGGGACACAGAAGAGTAGGGGTGAAGAAGATTCTTCCCAGGTCGGTCAAAACGGTACGCTAATCCGGAGGCCATGATTCGATCCGATCATTTGCGGTTGTTAGAAGCAGTTGCATTTCGACGGGAAGCGGCGAGAAGTTCCTCAACAACTCTGCGCAGATAGTTCAGCACGGCATAGTGCAGGGCCGTGGAGCCGGAATTGTCAGCGGCGTTGATGTTAGCCCCAGCCCGGATGAGCGCGAGGGCAGTGTGCTCACGATCACCCTCATCCGAGTCTGCATACCTGCTTTTCCGCCGCAGTTCGCAGGCTCGCAATAGCGGCGTTTGACCCTGGGCATCTCTTCTTTCGAGGTCGTGGCCTGCGGCGATGATGGGTGTCACCAGCCCGCGCCGGGTACAGATCTCGTGCAGTGCAGATGTCCCTTCCGCCAAGGGCTGATGCGGATCCGCGCCGTGAGCAAGCAGAACAGCCATGAGTTCTTCACTTTTCCCCGATGCTTCTCGGAGCGGGGTCTCGGTTCGGTCCTCTTGCCATGTATCCTTGCGATGTATACACGACACTGGGATCAGCGCCCGCCTTCAAAAGCAATTCTACCGCAGAGACATTCCCTGCTTGGATCGCGCAAGCGATTGCCGGTGGGCTTCCAAGGGACGGGCCTACCCCGTGGTCTAGTAGTCTTCGAATGATTGATAGATCCCGGTTGGCGCGTAGAGCGGCGTGAAGTGGCAGACCTTCGTTGACATCTGCTCCACACTTGAGCAGGACATCAAATGTTTCATTGCACCACAAGCTGAGGTCATAGGCCCCAATCTTTCCTGCTTCGAGTGCTGTTTGAAGAGGGTTTCTGCCTTTGTGCAGGAGCCCGGTATCGCCGTAAGTTCTAGAGTTCGTGATATAAGTGTCTGGGTGGCAAATAGCTACTGCTGATAATGTGACTGGATATGACGTAACTTCCAGCGCCCTGCAGCTGCTGTGCACGTAGTATTGTCACGCCCACGCCCTGGCTCTGCCTAGTCAATCTTCTTAATGCTCCTAGGCAAATAACCCTTCCGTAGGGTGGTCCAATTTCTGCATATCATTCATTATGTCCGGGTCGAACGCATATCACTCATTATTTCCGGGTCGAACGCCATACCTGGAAAAGGCAAATCAAGTGGTAGTTGTGTTGGGACTGGTATTGAGTACAAGTTGTCTGGTGATGCGGATTTACACCAAGACTGCTGTAATGAAGCGATTCTGGTGGGATGACGGTACGAATGCTTGGACCCCCCCTTTTGGCTCGTGCTGCATCTGCGTTCCTCGAATCCACCACATAACGCTTATGAATGTAGTTTTCGTCATTGTGGCCTGGGTAAAACCCCTCAATCTCAAGCTTCGGTCCTCATTCTCACGGCTGACCTATATCGTTCAAATAAGATATTTGCTGCTGCCATCCAAGCGACCTTACTTTGTACGAGTCGCACCGCTCATCAAACAGGTTTGAGCTAATTAGGACTGCTGTAGACGGATTCAGCCACGCTGGGGTTGGCATCCACATGACAGAGTTGTCTCCCTCGACCCTGGTAGCTTTACAAAAGGTATAGCTCCCATGCGTGTGCAACTGCTGCCCACCTTCCACTTCTATGAAGGCGCAAAGCTTACGCTAAGGCATTGATTCCGCCCCCTATCCAACATTGAGACCGTTATAACCGCCTCAATTGTTTACCTCCCTTGTCTCGCATTCGCAAAGCTCGCCTTGCTTATGCTGTACTATAGACTCTTGTACACAGTCAAAGCGTGGATATACACACTCTATCTCGTGGGATTTGTGGTTGTTGGATATACGATAGCACTAACTGTGGTGCTCATCTTTCCATGTGACCCCATTGAGAAAAACTGGAATCCGTTGATCCTCGAAGGGTCTTGCATAGATCGAAACGGCGCATACCTCGCGACCGCCGCCACGAATACTGCCAGCGATATTATATTGCTACTGATTCCCATTCGAGTGATCTCGAAGCTCCAGATGCCGCTGATGGAGAAGTTGGGTGCCTTTCTCATGTTTGGCATTGGTTCTCTGTGAGCAAAGCCCATCTTGTTCCCTTCTTACCGCGTTCGGACTGCAACGGCGGCACGAATACCTCGGAACCCTTAGTCTTCGGATGACTGAAACGTCTTGCAGGACGATCGTCATGAGTATCGTGCGGCTGGCGACCTTATGGCCACTGATCAACTCTCAAGATTTTTCGTATCACCTCGCCCTCGTCTGTACATTCGTGTGAGTGCAGTCTTCGCCCTCTCTTCCATGTTTCTGCAGTGAATGAGAAACCGAGAAACCGCAATTAACTGTAATGGACCACATCGTCCACACCAAGTGGATAGCAACATCGAAGCGAATCTCATCATAGTATGTGCCTGTCTACCCTTTTTGCGCCAGCTCATTCGCCATTTTGCACCCCAATGGGCACTGTGGGGGCGGCACTCCCGGAATACACGAAGCTCGTCGTCGACTTCAACTCCAGGCAGAATCTTACGGGGTGGACCTCGAACTGATGCCGTTGTGGCGGATCTTGAGATCTCGAGTATAAGTCAGGAAACAATCGTCCAGTCGTGCTGAATATGATGATCAAACTGAAAATGTTTCAACAGTTAGTTTTCGATGAGAATAGGATACCTTAAGATTACAAAAGCATAGTCAAGATGATAGATATCTATAAAATTTAATTTTTATTCTATATTTTGGTTAAATATACTAAAAATCACGGGATAATTTTAATTATAAAAAGTAAAAGTATATAAATATTATAACTTCCAAGCTTTTCTTTGCAAAGAAATTAGAAAAAGACTGAGATAGAGTATAAAAATATTTCTTTAATAAATAGTAAAACTTATGGTTTAAACGCGCCCGTCGCCTAATCTACACTAAATGTAATAATTTTAGTAGTAAAATTTACTGAAACAAAACGAAATTGAACGGGAAGCCACAGGACTCTATTACTTGATAGAAAAATCCAAAAATCCACAACAGATAAGATGTGAATCTGTAAGGTGGAATCAAAACAGACAGCCTGGTAGGAAGTGACAGGTTCTCAGCGCCTGACTAACGAACGAACCCATAAAAGTCGGACCGTTCACATTGCACACACAGCAGACTACAAGGAACCCTAAGCAAGCAACAAGGCAAACTACACCAACTAATCAAAGAACAAAAGAACATACCACAAACTCTACGACGCAGGCAATGCACATATATCATAGATTCAAAACTCCCTCAGGAGCAACATTCCATTGAAACCATCTCAACCACCCAAACCAAAAAAGCCTCACCACTACCTCTCACTATAAGGCGGCGGCGGCGTCCCCTCCCTCTCCCCCTCCCTATCCCGATCCCGATCCCCAGCCTGCAACGCACCCGCGCGCCGCCTAAGTGTCTCAGCAGTCAACTGCCTGGCGCGGGCAACCGCGCGGTCAAACGCACCGGGCTCATTGAGCTGATCGTAGATCCAGCCCTGGGCGGTGTTCCTCGTGAGGGCGACGCCGATGACGCGGCCGCAGAAGCTGGAGATGGAGAGCCAGGAGCCGACGTGGGGCATGTCGATGGTCAGGATGGGGGCGGCCATGACCTGGCGGGCGAGGTCGTAGTCGAAGGGCCGGACGGCGGTGGTGGACAGGCGGGCCTCATTGTAGAGCACGCGCAGGAGGAGGATCTTGTCGATGCCGCGGATGTCGACCTCGCTGAGGTCGGTGCCGCCGGAGGCGGGGCGTGGGAGGCCATGGAAGGTGGAGCGGGGGTGCTCCATCGTGGGGGTTCTAGGGGTTTCAGCTGTTTCCAGAGCCGTTGGTCCAGTACACTCACCGAATGAAGATGTACGACACCATCCTCGATTGCAACCCTCCAGCCGATTTATATACCACATCTCATCAAAATCCCCCCCAATACAACAAAGACGCTCACTTCCACAGTCTCATTCATCGCCAGATGCACCCGGTAATCCCCAGCTCACCACAATCAACCCCTCCCACAAAGATAACCCCATACAAAGGACCGGGACACCCCAACTGAAACTCTCCGGCCCTAACTCCCATCCCCAATTCTATAAAGAACACCTCTCCTACACGAAGAACCACCCCAAGCCACCCCAAAGTCAACCGAATACTAACCCCCAGACCCACAGCACCAACCCAAAATGCCCCCCCAAGCCCTCGGCCTCCTCGCCGTCCCCAGCCACCGCACCCAGCCCAGACCACCCCCCTCAACCTTCACCTACACCCCAGGCGACGCCATAACCCTCGCCTGGCTCCAACGCCTGACAAACCACCTCGAAGCAAGCGACATCCCCGTCTGCCTCCTGAACCGGGCGCTCTTCCGCACCCTAAACTGGCAAGACAACCTCTTCCTGGACCCATGCATCGACCTCAACATCCCCAGCCACCACATGAGCGGGGCGATCGCCGTGCTGCAAGCCGCCGGACTGGACGACACGCCGCGGTCCGTGGCCGAGACGCTGGCCTGCATGCACTACTGGCCGTCGGGCCCGAGCAAACGCTTCCCCGCGGACCGGGACTGCCGCGCCCAGGACGCGTGGTGGGCGCCGGCGCACGTCTTCTTCGTGCAGCGGGGGCCGTACATCCCGGCCCTCCACCGTCGGCTCTGGAGTCTGGGTCCGGAGGCGGACTCGCCGGACAGTGTCGAGAACCCCCAAAAAGAGGTGATGGTGCGGTTGTTCGCGCACGAGCAGTATTTCTGGCATATGCCGTGTCCGAGTTCGCGACACAACCCCAAGGAGGAGGATGGGGATTGGGAGTGTTATACTAGGGTTAGAGTGGAGGCTGGCTCAAAGGAAAGAGACGGAAGAGGAGGAGGAGGGGATCGGGAACTGCCCAAGATGGTGCGCGTCATGAAGCCGGCGCAGTACCTCGAGGGGATGCTCCTGCTGCACTGGCGCGATCGGTGCTCGACGAATGATACCAAGGGCACCTCCTGGGAGCTGACCTACGACATGCTCTGTGATCTGGCCCGACGCTCCAAGCCCGCCTGTCTGCGGATCCGGGCGTTTCGGCCGGAGATGCGCAAGCTGCTGCAGGACGAGCTCCACGCGCCCGACACCAGGACCGACCGCGAGTATAACTGGCTTTTCCTGCAGAGACGTATCAAGCGCGCGCAGCTGACGTACCAGAGGTTGAAGGGCACCCCCATGATGCCCCTGTCCCCGTTCCCGATCCCGTCCACCGGGGTGCCCGAGTCGCTGCAGAAGACGTACAAGGCCATTATGACTGGGTCTGAGCTGTATGATCCCAATTTCCCGTGGGTGGATCGGCGACTCGGTATGTTCCGCTTGGATGAAGACGGCAACAGAATTGAGGGCGTATATGCTGGGGATGATGATGAGGAGACCGATTCGGACTCCGAGGAAGACCCCAGCGTGGGGGGCTATGATTATGCCATCGAAGTGTATGAACCCAGCGAGGATGAATCGTAGCTTATCGTAGCATCATGGTGAGTTGGACGTAGGGGAAACTATGATTTCCTACTTTCCATGGTAGGTTCGTAGAACTATCAGACAAATGATCATTGATCGATATTGCAAAAGCTCTCTTTGCAAAAGTTCCGTACTCCTTGATAAGCGCTCCCAAGCAGACAACCAAAGCAAAAACAGTGGAATCGCTCAAGTTCTAAACTAACGACTAAGGAAAATCACCTCAAGAATCCCATCTTCTTCCAACTTTGAAGATACCGTCTCACCACCTCAGCATCCACAGGCCCCACCCTCGCTAGCGTGGCTGAATGCTCACGACACCGCACTGTCTCTAATCTTAGCCCTCCGCACGACATGCGACGAAAGTGTTCCTCGAGAAAGTCGACCATCAAAGAGGCAGGGTTCTCCTCGCCTGGTCCAGCGAACGTTCGGACTCGATGGATCCATTCTTCGAAAGGCACAGTAGTGATGACTCCATTCTTGGCGCTCGAGTTTTGCCCCTCCTTCAGGCGAACTGTTGCCGGCTTGAACCGCAGGCCCTCAACCAGCAAGGGGACCATTTCTTCCCATGATTGCCCAGCAGGATTCTCAATGTGATAGACTGGATGCCTGTTTGCCATCTCCAATCCTTCACCAGAAAGAAGTAGGTCCCCCAACGTAGCCGCCACGTCCTCAACAGGCGTCCACGAAACAGTTCCCTTCAAGTCCGGGAGACAGCCGATCGTCTGTGAGGACTTAAGGAGAAAAGGCAGGTGCTCCTGTGGATTCCAGTATCCACCGAGCCGTGATCCTGCTACTTGCCCTAACCGAACAGCCATAGGCTGGAACATGTCCGGGTAGCGGTGAAGGGTTTCATCCAGCATGCGCTCGCAGACGAACTTGGCGAGACCGTACCCATTGGTCAAAACGGACTGTAGGGGGAGTCGCGATTCAGGTACGTTGGGGTTACCGGTGTGAATAGGATAATGGCCGACGGTGGCAATCGAGGAGATCAACTGAAAGTGGATCTTGGAACCACTGTAGGCGTAGCTAGCAAAGTCAACAAGATTGCGCATGACCTGGAACTGCGGCTCAAACCCTTCAACAGGCCGTTTGCCGCTCATGGGCCAGGCATTGTGGATGATATGCGTGGTTTTTGAAGCGAGCTGAGCGTACTCCGCTTGGGCTAGACCAAGGAAGGGCTTGGATGTATCCGTCTCGAGGATCCGAAGTTTTGAAAGCGCCTGGGCACCCGTTATGATCCCCCGCGTGGATAGGGCTTCTTGCTGGCGCTCCGATGGTGTCTTGCTGCTGCGGGCGGGGCGGTTAAGGCAAATCACAGTGGCAACGCTGGATTGATGTGCGAGATGGCTAACCAGCTGACAGCCTAGACTCCCGGTGGCCCCAGTCACAAGTATCACGGCCCCAGACGAAGGTTTCTTTATTGATGCCTTGGGAGCTTTAGCGCTGAATCCCTGAGTATATCGCCGAATGTAATCATCCACTACTGCCTGTCGAGTCACCAAGTCGGCGTCAGCAGGCGGGCTTGGAGATTGCGGCAAGGAACAGTGGCGGCGTTCATACCTTGGCCCTTGGGAAGCCATTGCGACCACGATGCGCTCGATCCCGACCTCGGGGCATCTTCCGTCCGTCCAATTTACCTGGCCATAACCCGCAGCGTGGAGGGCAGTCTCCCATTGTACAGGATCGGCTACCGCGTGGCGCCGACCGTCATCAAACAGCCACCATCCTTCCAACAGACCAAAGATCATATCAATCCACACAAGAGGTTGCGTCATCTCCAGCATCATGAGAAAGCCATCGGGCCGCAGGGCCTTCCGAATGTTCTTGGTCGACTCCGTCAAGCTGCGAGTAGCATGAACAGCGTTGCTCGCGATGATGATGTGTTGACTGCTTAGCAGATCATCGGCGGGAGCTTTCTCAATATCATGGACCCGGAACTTCATGAACGGATATTGCTTGAATTCCTTGCGAGCGCTGGCAAGAAACATTGGCGAGATGTCGGTAAAGGTATATTCAACCGAAATTCCCAGACGGGCCAAAGCTGGCACAAGCTGCTTGGTGGTGCCTCCCGTTCCAGCACCCATCTCCATGATTCTCAAGGGTCCTTCGCTGGTGGAAAGTCTTCCGATGAGCCGCCGAAGATAATCATCCATCATTTTGTAGTGCAATTTGTTGAACAAAAAATCTCCGTAGAGACTAGACACTAATTGGCGACCTTCTTCGTTGCCAAAGATCAGTCGAAGACCATCCGCCTTGCCGCTGAGCACATCTGCCAGTCTCCTGCCTGTGAAATAGGCTAGCTGGTGGGCCTTGGTGTGATTAGGATAATCTTTAATCAGTCTGTTCAAGATACTCTCACTGGACTCGACAAGGGCGGGTGCGTGAGTTCGAATGATGGTGTTGCCTTCCACTTTAACCAAGTTACCCTCGTTCTGCAGAACCTGGTAGATGTACTCGACCAGACGTTCATGCTTGGGCAGGTATTCAATTCGTGGCAAGACCTGACCATGAACGGCAGCACGTAAAGGACACCCAAGCTGTTCGAAAGCCTCAACTATCAAGGCAACACACATTTGCACCAGTGCAGGGTTGATAGTCTGCATGTAATTGAGGCCATTGAATTCAGCAATGTATTCGTCCGTAAGACCTTTGATCTCGGTAAAAGCGCCCATGACAGCTTCGGACGGCAACCGGAGGTCTCGATCGGGAAAATAAGACTTTGCAGTCTCTGGCGCTGGAGTAGGGCTTGCGAGCTCGCTAGGGGTAGAAAAGCCCGGAGTCGCGGATAGTGGCTTGTTCATCTTGCGCTCAATATCTGAGACGGTAAGCTCCTGTAAGATCTGTCCATGGGGGAAGTGTAGGCCGAATTTACACTCCAAGTCAGCGGACAGCTCCATGGAGAGAAGCGAGTCGACACCAAGTTCTCCGAGCGAAACGTCATTCCGGATTTCGTGCTCAGCTACCCCCAGGAAATCGGCGAGGAACGCTCCAAATCCACCGGCTATCGAGACATCTAGGTCGCTGGATACAGTGGTCGCAGAGTCGGAGAACACGTCGCTGACCGACTCCGCCGACGATGACTGATCATCCTCGGAAGAAATGGCTGTAACAGTGCCACGGATGTAGTCAACCAGGCTACGCACAGTTGTGAGATCCGCCAGGTCATACATTGGAATTGAACAGTGGAATCTTTGCTCCAAATCCTGACCCATCTCCATGCTCATGAGCGAGTCGATGCCGATGTCGCAGAGCTGGGTGCTGTCTTTGATGTCAACGTCGTCGAGACCAGACAGTTCTGCCAGTACCGCTTTGACGCCACTTGACACATCGATATTAGAGGAAGGGAGATCGGCTATCATTTGAGGCTTAGGAGTCGGACTGATCTTCGCTGAGACTGCT